CGTTTCTCATCGGAAGTATAGCAAAGGTCACCTGATGGATCTCCCTGCTTCTATCCCTGCCTGCCTTAGATCTGCCGTGAACACAGGAGCCAGACTGATCATTTTTTAAAATGTCAGATGATATCGCTTTCAAACAAAAGCAATCCAACCTCTTCCTGTCCCTCCAAGACTAAAGTCCGGGCTCCTGAGTCTTGCTACAAGGTCCTCTGCGGTCTGGCCCTGCCCGGCTCACTCCCTCTCTCCCCACCCTCACTATGCTTCGGCCTTCTTTCTGCTCCTTGAACAAGGATCTCTGTCTCTGTCTCTCTCTGTTTCTGTCTCTCTCTCTCTCGCCTTAGCTCTTCGGCACTGGTGGCTCCCTTGGCCTGAATCTTTCTTATCCAGGATTTTCCCAGGGCCAGCTCCTTCTAGCCACAGTAGTCCCTCATCAGACAAGCCTTTTCCAACAAGTCTAAACAGCTACCTGCTCTCTCTCACAACTGCTGTGCTCTTCTTTCCTAGTAGCTATTACTATCCGATTTTGTTCTTGTTTATTTGTTTGCTTATTGCTGGACACGCACACACGCACACACACACACACACACACACACAGCAATATGCACAACAGCAGACACAACACCACATTACCTGATCAGGAAGAACGTGTCAACCCCAAGATAGAATGGGCCACTCCGAGAATAAAGGTACAGTGGATTTTTAAGCACTCTGCTTTTCCACTCAAGCACATTATCTGCAACAAACATAAAAACAGTTGTCTTTCTGTTTCACCGAAGAAAGTCATGTGATTTACGTTTTCAAAAAAAGCAAGAGGAGCACCTTCGACTTTCATAGTATCGAGGGGATTTCGGGGCGCCTGGGGGGCTCGGCCAGCGAAGCGTCCCACTTCGGCTCGGGTCGTGATCTCACGATTCGTGAGTTCGAGCCCCGCGTCGGGCTCTGCGCTGACAGCTCGGAGCCTGGAGCCTGCTTCGGATTCTGGGTCTCCCTCTCTCTCTCTGCCCCTCCCCCGCTCACTCTCTGTCTCTCTCTCTCTCTCAAAAATAAATAAACATAAAAAAAAAAAAAAGAGGATTTTGTGTATCCCCACAGCTTACTGAAGAGAACACAGATCGGAATGAGAAATGGTGACTGAGGCACCTGACAGTATCTGCCACGGAACCACCGTAACTCAGGCTTTGGACTGCTTCTTGTTCTCACAGTGCCCACAGCTCCTGGGGGGGGGGGGCAGCAACATCCCCTTGACCTGATGCACATCCCCCCCACCAGAGCGGCTCCCGTGCTGCTTCCGGAGTGAGGCAGCAGGGCCGAGAAACACGGCTTTAACACCGGTGCATAATATTTATCTGTTTATGCTTGACTACCTTTCCAGGGGAAAAAAACATGTTAGTTTCTGGCTTCGTCGAGTAGGACAGGAGGGAATCCGGCTCTTTGGACGACGCATGTGTGATCCTCGGGTGTCGCTTGTTCACCTGGTCATCAGGTGCCTGGTTTCCACCCATGAGGAGGGGGAGCAACTACTGGGCATCGGTTTGGGCCCTCCCAAAACTCACTTGTGGCGGGGGGGGGGTCACGGCTACGTGTCTAAAACAGCAGGAAGGCTGCAGGCTCGCGTCCCGGGCCCAACACGATCCCCTCGCGCGAAAGCGGCCCTCTTCCTCGACTGCTCGGAAAGACCCGTGAGTTCTCCTCACCCAAAGACAGCCAGGCAGTCATCTGACTGGTGTGCCCGGATATGATCCAGAGGAGGCTCAGAGCCCGGATGCCATTCAGCGCAGAGCACACGCCCCCCGCGGGCGTCTCTGTGGTCCGGATGGCCGGCACGTTCTTCTGCCACGAAAAGCATTTCAGAGCATGCTCCGTGGCTCCTAAAAATCCTGGACGAGAGCACAGGTGTTACCGCCCGCCCTGAAGTGCCTACGTTTCCCCAGCTACAAAACGGGAGTCAAAGTCCATCTCATAACCTGAGGATTGTCATGAGGAGCAAAGGAGACACCATCACACCTGCCACACTCACTATTTGAAGCCCAATTGCTCTCGTCCCTTCTACGTCCCTTCTTCTGTTTCATGTCTACAAAATTTTGATCGGACTCGTTGGGATGCATTCCAAACAGCCGGACCTGTGAACCAGGAGCCTCCAAAGGAAGGCGCAAGCCGCTCCAAGAGACTCACGGTTTCTCTTGGTCGAAGCTTGGTGCTTAAACACTGCAGGCTCAAGAAGTCCCCGCAGAACTGAGACTTATTTACAAATGAGAGCTGGCGGATAACCCGGCTCTGCAAATCTAAAATCAGTTTCTGAACTGGGGGAATGTCATTGTCAAACCTTCGGAGGTTTCGGCCGTGAATAGGGGTTTTTCCATCGGAGTCGCTGTCCCGTGTGCCTGCCTGAAATCACAGAGCTCACCCTCTCCTCTAGGGGCATTTTCACCGACCGGCCCTTGGCACAGCACGGCCAGTTGTGTCCTGCACCCCGAGTCCCGGATCCCCTCGGCTCCCCAGAAGCCACGTGCCACGAGAGAGAGAGACACGCACAGAACCCGGGCTCTGGCCGGTTCTGCCTTCTCTTCAACCTCTCGGGACCTCTTCCCTCACCTTTAAACTGAGCACCCTTTTTGGCCGGGCTGCGGTGAGCATTTGAACATATTTGCCAAACATCTGGCCTGACGCCTGCCCACCTTGGCAAGCGAGCCCTGAATGCATTTTGCTATCATTCGATTTTTTGTTTTTTTTTGCATCTAAATTCTACTTGTGGCTCCCCGTAACTAGTAGCAGCTTGTAACGGTGTCTGAAAATAACCGGTCTGTAGAGAAGACGGCCTCTCTGAGTCCCGTTTACTCGCTGGTAAGTGGAAAGGATAAACCAAGGGGGATGGGGAAGATCAGTTGAAAGGATGCATGTAGGTCAGAGGTTCTCAAAGTAGGGGGTCCCCAGTCCAGTAGCTTCAGTATCGCCCGGGAACCTGTTGGAAATGCACGGTCTCAGGCCCCACCCCAGACCCACCGACCCAGAACCTCTGAGGGCCGGGCCCCGCAAAGGTGCTTGTGCTGCGACAAGACCTCCAGGTGCTTCCGGAGTTTGAGGACCAAAGTTTGCGAACCACAAGGTGTCGTGGCGCTTTGAAAGACCTTGTGGCCCCTTTGGATTTTCTCAGCGATTATTACCGTGAGCCCACTTGAAGTGACAGACCACACAGTAAGAGCCCTGCCTTCCAGGGGCTAAAATCCATAGCCGTTTGCTTCGTGGAAACTTCCTCCAACACGTGCTGGTATTTTTTCTCATCTAAGTAGGAAAGGGCAGGCTCTTGTAACAGGAAACCTCTCTAAGCGAACGCAATGATTACTTGGAGGATAAAGAACCAGGAATCTGAAATACCCAATTTGGCTCTAAACTTCTAGGAGACACGGTAGTCTTATGTTGATTTGACTCGCTGGTGAGTGCAAATCTGGAGACGAAAAAGATGCTGACCCTAGGGCTCTCTGCATCTCGATTTTTTGTTTCCAAACATTCAGGATGTGATCTTTTACTCTGATGGTATTAAATCCAAAAAAAGCAAAAAGTTACAGCAAGAGAACACGGTCCCCCCACTTCTGCCATTTTGAGGCCACAGGTAAACATAGCTGCTGAAAAAGTGAACGTAACCTTCGTGTCCTGATCATAGAGAGTCCTGTCTTGGGCCGAAACCCTAACGTATCGGTGGCTGGGTCCTGACACCGTATCAGGTGCATCTGCCTTAAAACGCCAGGCTCCGTGGCTTAGTCTTCAACCTAATGACAGGCAGCGGTGAATTTCGGTGGCTGTAGGCTCGCCCTCAGTCTGACAACTAGAAGCCCGTGGCAGGTGCCTGGAACCCAGCTGACCTCAGCAAGGTCAGTGTTAGCGAGAGGTCTTGGGCAGTTAAAGCCACTATCCTTTCCTCCTTCTGGCTTAAGGGCAGCGAATGAGGAAAAAAGCAACGTAGCAGGAGGTAAGTTTCCACTACCTCATTTAATGCCTTCAACAAATCCCACTGTATGTCCCAGTTTTACACATGTGGAACCTGAGGTTCTTAGGGGTCAAACAACCCCACCAAGGGCAGAGTTAGAAACCCAGGCAGGATTGAGCGGAGGTCGCTAAGCATGCTCCCCGCTCGTGGAACCTTCTCTACATGGCAGCTGGGGAGCCAAGTTCTTGAACAATGTCACGTGAGGAGTGACTGAGGGGCTCTGAGACTATGACAGGAGAAGCCATCATAACTGTCCCCAGTATCTGATGAAACAAGAGAGTAAGTAGGAGGGCAAAACAAGGGCCCATCGGTAGAAATGACAGAGCAGGGATTGCTGGGTGGCCCAGTCGGTTAAGCGTCCAACTCTTGGCTTTGGCTCAGGTCATGATCTCATGGTTCGTGAGTTCCAGCTCCAAGTCAGGCTTTGCACTGACAGCGTGGAGTCTGCTTAGGATTCTCTCTTTCCCTCTCTCTCTGCCCCTCCCCCCCCATAATAAATAAATAAACATGAAAAAAATTAAGAAAAGAATATTGTTGTTTGGGAGCTGCTTGGGAGCTCGTGTTGTTGGGAGCTCGTGGTAGTGTTACCACCAGCTTGTTGCTGGGAGCTCGTGGTAGTGTTACAGCGGTTTTTATTTTTGCCCGAAGATCCAAAGAGGATCTGATAAAATCATCGCCGTGCCCTCCACAGTGGACATATCCCCTGCAGCTGCTTGATCACGTATTCATAATCTTTTGGCCCATTCATTGCTATGGTGTCTTATCTTTATCCCCCGAGTTGGAGTAAGGGAAGATCAATTGTGTGCAGGTCCAGGGACTCTGCCAGAAACGATTCCCCATGTGCTAAATCTGTTTGCATGACGAAGCGGCCCTTGTTTCAGGGTGTGTGTGTGTGTGTGTGTGTGTGGTCTTTGCCTTGCCATATGGGCAGGGGGAAATGAAGATAATGCTTTTGATTTTCAGCTGCAACACAACGCAACGTGACCAACTGCTAAGCGCCGTCCAGCTCGCCCTTCACTAAGTGGGTTATTTAGTTCTGGCTCAGATACGCTCAGCCAGGCTTTAACGTGTTGCACACTTACTCCCCTGGCTTCGATGTGGACGTCAATCCTTTACCTTAGTGATGCCAGCAAGGTTCTGTGAGCCATCTGCGTCGCTGTGACACCGAAAATAGACACTGTGGTCATGGAATTGTTTCTTAGAGGATGACTGCAGCGAAACCCAAGCCCTGCTCTGCCCTGGTCACGGGGTAGCACAAAACACACTGGGTCATTGTACCCAAGAAAGAAAGCAGCATTTTTAGTGACTCGCCGTAACACTCCGACAGCAAACAAAGACGGAATTGTGAAGAACAGAGACCCAACCTCCACACTGGCATTTAGACGCTGTTGGACGTTCCCCAGACCCCAGCACCGTCGGAATTATTTTCCAAATACGGCTCCTCTAAGCCACCTCTAGTGCGCGCTCTTAGGTTATCAAAATGCCTACTTTGTCCTCTGCTCGGGGTTCCTGAGAGTGAGAGGTGGGCCAGGCCACCCGCTCTGTTTCCTGGGTCACTCCTCTGTGTCTCTCTCAGAGGCAGGCTCCCGTCGGTGGCCGGTCGTGCCCGATGTGAGGGTGACTCCCTGTAGTCGGGCCCCCGCCCCCTGGCCGCCACATAGACAGTCCCAGCCAGGGGAAGGAGGAGGCCCAGCGAGGTGAGGCAGCTGCAGGGGGAAGACAGGTGTGAGCAAGCCTTACGTCGCACCAAAGCCACCGTAAGAGGCAGAGAAAACAGCCCAGGGAAAAACCAACCACGCAAACCCCCAACAAAAATACAGACAAGTATCGAACAGTTTAAAGGGGCGGGAGTGGCTTCGTAAGAATCGATAATGAAGGAAATGATTAATGAAGTATAAGATTAATGGATTTCACTCGACTCCTTATTATAATTGCTAAAAAAAAAAAAATCATAAACGGAAACACCCAAACCCTAAGGAGGATACTTGCAGCTGATTGGACTACGAACTCGTATCTTTCATGTATATAAGATAGTTTAAAAGATCAGTAAGAACCCAGCTAACCCACATACATGGAAACAGGAGTGAAAAGTATGAATAGCAGATAAACTTGACGGGGGAAAAAAACCTCCTCGTTACCAAGGTTTTAAGGTAAATTAAACCAGTGTATTGACTCCGTCAGATTGGTAGTCGTTTTTACAAAGGTAGCCGGTGATACGGGGGACAGGATGGTGATATAGACACGGACGTCTCAGAGGGGGGTAGTTAAATAAGTGAGGTTTCCAGGAAAGCCCCTCCCCAATGATGCCGGCTACGCCCTGGCAATTCTACTTCCGTTAGTTTGTGTGCAGGATGCAAACAAAAAGTAACAGACAGGACGGCTAAGGTGTTTGAGGGAGAAGCCACACCTCAAATAAAAGAAACGAATCTTCAGGGGTCACGTGATAGGAACAGGACAATTTGGGATCGGGATACGTTTCCCCGTGACTCTGAAACTCAATCACATTTGGGTGTGGCCAGCCTTCCTCTCGACCACTGCTGAATTTTCTTGTGTAAGGTACGTGGTGATCGTTCAGGGAACACTGGCCAGACATCATTCAAGAATGAAAATGAAATGGCCACGCGTAGGTGGTGAGTGGAAATCGATTACACAGTCCCGACGTATACATCCCGACCAGGTACCTCAGATGCCCATACTCACAGACACATGGCCACAAAGGTGTCGAGGGGGAACGTTCCAGTAGCACATCTAGCCGCGCCCGTGCCAGATGAGGAGGAAGAATTGATTGCAAAGAGAGAGAGAGAAGGGGCCAAAAACGAAGTATTTCTGAATCTGAAAATATCTACCAAGGGAAAGAAAAAAAAAAAAAAAAAAAAAAAAGAGAGAGATTGTATTAATGACACTTTACTCTGCAACAAATACACTTTTCCAAGAGCTTTCATACCTATTATTTCAAAATAAAACTTTGATATGAAAAAGGGCAGCTGGCTTTCCTATATCTGATTTACAGATGGGGAAAATAGGGCACGAAGATGCTGAGACTCACAGAAGGAAGAACTCAGCCCAGCGCGAAGTGGACCGTAGTCTCTGGAATGCTTAGCCCGCCCAGACTCCCTCGGTCCCTCCTAGCACAGCGCTGGGAATGACAATCCTAAAAGGCACCATTAAATCTGCTTAAATCTGTTCGTAAACAGGTTCCCGCAAGAGACATAAATGCAATATGAGATGAAAAAAATACAATGAAAGTCCGCAGGCTGGAGAAAGGCGCTGTATCTAAAGGGGGCGCCTGGGGGGCTCAGTCGGTTAAGCTTCCAACTTCGGCTCAGGTCACGATCTCGCGGTTGGTGGGTTCGAGCCCCGCGTCGGGGTCTGTGCTGACCGCTCCGAGCCTGGAGCCTGCTTCCGATTCTGTGTCTCCCTCTCTCTCTCTGCCCCCTCCCTTGCTCACGCTCTGTCTCTCTTTCTCAAAAATAAACATTAAAAGATAGTAAATAAATAAATAAAAGTGAAACACAGAAGCACCAACTCGGGGCGCGCCTAATCAGTCACTGATTGTAGGGATTCCCGTAGTTTGTGGGGACATTAGTGGTAAGAGGAGGGCAGCGGTCTCAGACTTCAGTGTGTCCCGGGATTACCCGGAGGGCCTGCTCAATAGACCACTGCCTGCCTCCCCTCCCCTCCCAGCCGGGCGATGCAGCAGGTCTGGGGTGGGATCTGAGAATTTGCATTTCTAACAAGAAATCAGGTGCTCAGGCTACCTAGTAATCAGGGCACACACTTTGAGACCCACAGATGTTCCAAAACATCAGCAAAGGAGGGGGGACACAGTGTAGTTTAATTAAATAGCAATGCCAATTATAAATAACAAAAAATAAAAATATAGATATTAAGCGCCCATTAGGTATGAGACGTGTTTTGATCACTGTCTCTAATCCATCATTTCTTTTTTTTTTTTGAGGGAGAGAGAGAGGGGGTCCTGGACAGAGAGAGAGAGAGAGAGACAGGGTTCCCCTGATGTGGGACTCCCAACTCACGAACCTGAGCCAAAGTCAGACGCTTTTAACGACTGAGCCACCCAGGCGCCCATTATTTATCTTATTTTACAGACAAGGAAAATTCTCCTTGGATAAATTCACGAACCTAAGCATGGTGGCTAAGAATGCAGGTTCTGGGGGTGCCTGGGTGGCTCAGTCGGTTGGGCGTCCGACTTCGGCTCAGGTCACGATCTCGCGGTCCGTGAGGTCGAGCCCCGCGTCGGGCTCTGTGCTGACCGCTCGGAGCCTGGAGCCTGTTTCAGATTCTGTGTCTCCCTCTCTCTCTGACCCTCCCCCGTTCATGCTCTGTCTCCCTCTGTCTCAAAAATAAATAAACGTTAAAAAAAAAAATTTAAAGAATGCAGCCTCTGCATTGAGAGCCCGCATCTACCCTTTATGACCGTGGGACACGTTACTTCGCGGTTCTGTGCCTCGGTTTCCCCCTTGGTAAAATGAAAACAATCGCCCCTCACAGGGTTGTTTCGAGGGGTGCAGCACTAACTAGAAAGCACTCAGCAAGTTCCTGGAAGGGTAAGCGTTCAGTAAATGTTGGTTGTCTCTATGTTGCTGCTAAGGGGCAGGGACAATCTCACTCGGGTCGCGTGAACCTGAAGAGTGTGGCCTTTTTGCGTCCTCCTGCCACCCCATCGAAGCGCAACGTATTGGCTAGATTTGCGTGCAGGAGGCTTGGGTTTGAGCCAGCTTGCTGTGGGACCCTGGGCAAGTTACTTCACCTCTCTGGGTCTCGTTTCCTCCTCTGGGTAATGAGGAAGGGTGGGTTGGACACAGTGGAGTCTCATGTCCCGTCTACCTCCAACACTTTTCTCTCCCCCCACCTCTTCCCTGTTCCTACACCACCAAATGCCTTAGCTGTGGGGTGTGGATAACCTAAGCTCCACCTCCCTAGCCCTCCCCCATCCCCCCCCCTTGGAGGGGGGCCGGGAGCCAGAGGGGCAGGGAATTCTAGACACTCAGCGTGACTGGGAGAGAAGGGGAAGGTGGGCATGTCCCGTGACCCTACAGACATCCCACGAGGAGGCCCAGCCGGAGGCCTGGTCTCTAAAGCAGGGCGCCGAGGACAGGGTCCTTCTTACCTAGGTCTAAGGGCTACACTGCAGCTACCACTCCCCTCCTCCAAGGTGCCCACCCTCTTTGCAGGTGATCACAGGAAAGCCTCAGGGGCAGGAGAGGAAGAGAATGAGTAGAAAAGAATTGAGCCCCGGAGGTCCCAAAATCAAGTTCAAAGGGCTCTGAAAAGAGACCCCCTAGAGACAACCGTGTCCCCTCTAAATTCATATGTTGAAGCCAGGACCTCAGAATGTGACGGTATTTAGAGGCAGGGCCTTTAGGGAGAGGTGATTAAATGAAAACGGAGCCATCACACTATCTCATCCAACCGGTGTCCTTAAATGAAAGGAAGTTTGGACACACGTAGGTGAGCCCACAGTGAGCGAGAAGGTGGCCGTCTGCAAGCCCAGGAAAGAGCCCTCAGAAGAAACCGGCCCTCCTGACGCCTTGATCCTAGACTTCCAGTCGCCAGAAGCATGAGAAAGAAATGTCGCTGTTGAGCCCCGGGGTCTGTGGTATTTGTCAAGGCGGCCCCAGCCAGCTCTCACAGAGACTCGCCAGATCGCTGCCCTTGATGAGATAGCACTCGGTGGGGGGACCAGGCCAAGACTCTCGAATGGGGGGCTGCCTGCGGACAGTTGGGTTTCCTGGGCTCGTCCTCCCTCACCAAGTGACCGGAGTCAATGTCCTCGGTCCTAGCAGCACTGAGGAGAATCCCCACTCCCCGTGCTAAAGCCTGCCAGTTGATTAAACCAATCGGCAGCCTGTGCAGAAGGGTCTACGCTGTGTGAGATTCTAGGCCTCTACAGGGGAATAGGGAACCTTTGTCTGATCTGTTTCCCACCAATGTCTCGCCACATACCATCAGCACCCCCTTCACTGACACAGGCAGCTCAAGCCTACGCTACAAACGTCCCCTTTCACGCTATCCCAGGTGGCTCTTTCCCCTTCAACCCTGCGGGCCCCCCCAAAGTTCCTCTGCACGGCTACCTGTCCCTAGCAGTTGGCATGAGCTCCAGCGTGTATTTCCTGACAGGGGCTCACGTCGGGCACGCACACTCCCCTTACTAACTAAATTATAGGGTTCTCAAAATGAGAACTCCCAATTCTTTTGATTCTCCCCCCTCGGCACACGCACGCGATGGCACACAGAGGCCAGATGTAAGAGTCCTCAGGACATATTTTCTGCATTGAACCGAGAACACAAAATGGTATCCTGTGAAATGTTTTGGATTCCTTGTGATCCTCAGGACTGATCCTCAGTCCTTCCAAGGCGCTTCTGTGGGTAGTTCAGGGAGTTATTCATTAAAATAGCTCCATTTGCTCAATCAGGGCTCGGGGACTTCCCGTGAGATCGTGGGGGGAGGGGGAGGAAGTCACTCCTTGAAGTGCCACGCCCCCGGTTCCGTGGAGGCCTCATAATCCTAATTGTAATAGGCAAGGGGAGATGAAATTAGCCTAACAGAGCATAAGAAAGAGGACGGATATAAGGGATGGTTCCACATGGACTGTGAACAGCCCACTTCTCACTGCTTTCGGCCACTGCCAGGAGAGACGCTGTGGCCACCATACGATGTCATGAAATTTCCATAAGGACAGGAGGCAGACTGAGAGTGAGTTCCTAAGAATGGAAATTCTTCATGGGGCGCCTGGGTGGCTCAGTCAGTTGGGCGTCCGACTTCAG